TCATTGATGAACTCGTAATCGGCATGTGCATCCTTCTGCTGGGAGTACTCGAACTTGATGCCATGCGACGGCTGCGCCCGTGCGGCAATTCGGGAGCGCTTGGCACGGGCCAAGAGTCCAGCAGCTGCCGTGGCCAGGACTGCAACACCATACATGGCAGTAGAGCCTGGCACCGCAGGGCAGTAATATATGCGTGACAATACATGCCGAATACATGCCTCCTCAACATTCCCATCACAAGACTTGACCCGGGCCTGTTGTGATGTTCGCACTTTGCACTCTTGCATCCACTGTGGCATGAGACAAGGCATGTGGCTTCTGCGCTGTTGGGCGCGGTGCCACGAAGCCGAGACCGACGGTTGTCATCAAGCCAAGGGCACCCAGGACTTTGACAGTGGTTGACCTGGGCTCGGGCTTCCTTTCAGATGTTTGTGGGGCAATCCCTATGCATTCGGGAAAGCGAGGAAACATGTGCATGTGAACACAATGCCAACGGAACAAGGTCCTTATCATCCCTTCTCTCTTCTTCTGACTTGGAACGCCGCACCTTTAGGCTTTATCCTAGGGTTCGGAGGTTTCAGCAACTCACATATTTGTACTGGAGGTGGTGCCTCGCGAGATGCAAAGCAGTCTAAGCAGCTCGCCTCTCTGCTAATATAAGGTGAAGGGTTTCAGGGTCCGGTTTCAGTAATCCGTGCTTCTCAGACTTTCAGACGACTCGCATCTTCCTTGACCGTTGTAGGCCATGGTATGCCATGCTGTGCATGTGATTTACTAGTTAACCAAGAGGCATCGTCTGATGAGCGTCCAGGTTGGCGATCGACGACTGTGGTTCGTGCGAAAGGCGCGCTTGAGCCAAGACACAAGCATGAATCGAGCGGCTGATGGTAACTTCATGCGACTTTTGCCTTGCATTGCGATGACTCCTTAGTCCTTCGGGCCAATGTGCAGCTGCTAGCGAGGGGAACCATACATGATAACCCGACGACCCAAAGCTATGTTTGCCCATTTCTCGTTTGCAAACTTTTTGTTTGCACTTCAGTACAACCTTTGTGCTCGTAAACTGAAACACCTTACTCATGGCAGTTGCCCCATCAACAAACACAAGCACTGCTTACACGGTGCAGCAAAGGCAAGATTGCGATACAGTTCTCCGAGCGCTGCCGTGACCTGCTAAGGATCTGCTAGCTCTCAGTAGCCTGGCATCAGCCCTGGAAATGCCGGCTCTCGCAATGGGCTTTTTTCAAGCGACCTAATTCAAGCTGACGCTCAATGAAACTACCAGTAGCCGCCGAGCCAATGCGAATGCCCTGAGCAGGCGCAAACCTGTCACAACTTTTGCTCTTGAGCTGCCCGGCCCTCCTGACGAGCACCAACCAGGCTTCTGACGAGGCATATTCAAGTTAAACTTTGTCCGTCCGATTCATTCAGCCGGTAGCATGCAAGTTGAGGCAGGCCGGAATCTGTGCTGAGTGGGTTGCCTCACGAGACCTCGGCAGGACAGGATGGAAGTTGAAACCTCAGGAGAAACATGTCGTAAGAGTCGCATGCGATCGGCACAAGTGCGACCGCTTGCATGGGGCTGCGGCAAGTGCACCGAAGCAGGAGTAGCTTTCAAGAGGAACGCTGCCGCAAACGGAAGTGTCGACAAGACAAGTCGGTATGGCATCTAGGCCACGCCTGCTGGTGCGCCTCTGCAGCATGGAAGCGTGGACACCCCGAAAGGTGAAGGGGGCGAAGTCGAGCGCAGAGACAACATGCTGCATCCGAAGGCTACTTTGCCGAACCATGTGATCAAGCAGTTCTCAGTGGCACAGAATGCATCGCCAAGTGCACCTCAGGCGGAGCTCACACCATGGGAGACTCGAAAAGAGGTGCAACTGCTGACACTGCTGCGTCCTCGCCACGACCACGCCGCTTCGAGGCCAGCCGGAGGCGTTGATTGATGCAGGGAAGGACGGCACCGCCAAAAAGTGTGGTCTTAGCAAGATGGAAGCGGGGCCGTCGTGCGGTGCAGGCGAGAATCTGCAAGCCATAAACTTTGAAGTTAACTTCGTCGAGGAGCACGGGGCACTTCTGTCGCGGTTCGCGCATGGGCTCGTGCACAGGTGGCTTTCACAAGCATGCTGCACCAGACACACCAAAGCAGGAGCGTGCAGCCGACCAGAGCGTTTACAGTGGGCACGCTTGCCGACGAGGCGAGCAGCCGACGGCAGACAGGTTAGCTCGAAATGCCGGCAGCATGACCATGTTGGGAGCGAAGCGGCCGTGGTGAACAGGTGGGATTGAAAAGTCATCGGCGAGGACAGCTCCAGCAGCGTGAGCGGCATGGAAGCGCAGTTGCCAAGGAAAGCAGAAACCACATGAAGTCAACATCCAAACGAAGGAACATTGCAGTGCCAGGCCGCAGAAAGCCCTGGAGCATACACACGGCAGCAGCTCACTGCACGAGCAAGCTTCATTAGTGGGTAGGAACCCCTCTGGTAGGAATCACCAGCCACCGGAGCAACAACACGTAGCCGCGCAACCGTAATCGCGCTGATTCGTAAGTAAGGACAGCAGTGTACAGGGACCTGCCAGGGCATCTAGCCTAGCTTTGAACGCCTGACTGCACAAGGCACCTGCAGGGCAGGACCGGAAAAGAAGCAGGCAATGAAATCAGATCGCAACAATTCCGCAACCACGCTCAATGCACGTTCACGAACTCGAAGCTACGATGCGAAGGGTGGCCATGGATGTCACGGAGGGCGATGGAGGCAGCTTCAAGTCGGCTGTAGCTGCTCTGCAGCAGGATGACGAAGAACGCGAGCACTCCAACCTTTTGCAAAAGTACGAAATAAGGGACCTGCCCTGCTCGGGGTGCACGCCTATACTGCAGAGAGTGCCTGCACTGCGCTTACAACCCCAGATCACTCAATAATACAGACGCGCCGCGGATGCTTCGGGTAGTCTACAATCTACAAACGCACACGCTACTTATAAACTTTCAAGGGAACCAAAGCCCTGTGAAAAGATTTTGTCTTACAAAACCCTGCCGCTTGACACTCGGCTGGGTCACTGTATGACTTGGCACGAAGGAGATTAGCTTCTGCGCTGCCACGCGTTAGATGTGTTGCCTTGTGGTGCCAAGCTGTACCACCCAGTTGGATCAAAACCGAAGCGTCACGGCAGGCAAAAGCGATGCCGAACGCCTCGAGGGCTTAGAGCACGATCGGATGTGCTGCTCCTTACATAACACACTCCGATCTTCGAAAACGAGCCGACGAGCAAAAACCCTTGCTGACAAGTTGAAGGATCAAGTTAAACAGTTCCTATTCTGGTGCTTGGGAGTTGCGCAGTGACCACCTAAACCCCGAATCCCAGCCCCATACATGGATCCTTGGAGTCCTTTTCAAAGTAGTGGCCTGGGCATGGCAGGAAAACTAGCTCGAGTCGGGCTGAAGGTCTATAGACTTATAGGAATCTACCGGCCCGGAAAGAACCCTCGGCTCAACGTGCCAAGGTCCTGCTTGAAACCAGTGGCCCCTTGCTCTGAGACCCGCGATGCGTAACTGGCGCAACTGCCCTAACTCTGCCATGCCATAAGGACTGCCTTGCTTACTGGGCCCGCTCCCGGGTGGGCGCCAGCTTCGGCTGGGCCAGGTGGCCTCTGATCTCAGAGTTCAACGTTCAAACGTTCAACGCAGAGTTCAATGCAATCTACATAATTAGCACATTGTTACACCGTCTGACGCAGACGCAACATGCGCAATCAAACTGAGCATTGACGAGGTAAAAGGCGACAAAGCCGGCCGCGAGCATCGCTGTGTGGCATCTTTCGCTGGGAATCTCTGTGGGCGGCGACACGAGCAACTGCAGCAAGGAAGCGTGGAGGCCCCGAAGGGTGAAGGGGGCGAAGTCGAGCACAGAGACAACATGCTGCATCCGAAGGCTACTTTGCCGAACCGTGAGATCAGGCAGTTCTCAAACAGGCACAGAGTGCATCGCCAAGTGCACCACGGGTGGAGCTCACACCATGGGAGACTCGAAAAGAGGTGCAACTGCTGACTCTGCTGCGTCCTCGCCACGACCACGCCGCTTCGAGGCCAGCCGGAGGCGTTGATTGATGCAGGGAAGGACGGCTTCGCCAAAAAGTGTGGTCGTAGCAAGATGGAAGCGGGGCCGACGTGCGGTGCAGGCGAGAATCTGCAAGCCGTCAATTTTGAAGTCAACTTCGTCGAAGAGCACACGGCACTTCTGTCGCGGTTCGCACATGGGCTCGTGCACAGGTGGCGTTCACAAGCGTGCTGCACCAGACACACCAAAGCAGGAGCGTGCAGCCGACCAGAGCGTTTACAGTGGGCACGCTTGCCGACAAGCCGAGCAGCCGACGGCAGACAGGTTAGCTCGAAATGCCGGCAGCATGACCATGTTGAGAGTGAAGCGGCCGTGGAAAGCAAAGATCACAGGAAAGCTGGCTGCGCCAGAGGCCGCATCGAAGGCACACAGCAACTGAGAAGTTCGAGAGCGCGCAAGAGCACAATCAGCCGGAGACTGGCAATGCTCGCGCCGTTCCAAACTGGCCGGAAAGTCTGCTGGTCGGGATGGCACAACAGGCAGCAACGGCGGCCCCAGCCGTCGTCGCAACATGGAAGAGTAGATGTCCTGTATGTGTGGACCAAGAGGATACGAACTCAGCAACTTCAAGGCTTCAAGGCCTGCAATCTGACGTGAGGGAACTCAGCTTTCCAAGGAGCTGCGGTCTGGAGTTGAGCAAGGCAAGCGTTTCGCCAGCATTATGCAGCAGAGCAACCACCAAACTGAGACAGAGAAGCTCTTCCCGCGCGGTGCGATGGTGGCGGCGGGAAGCGGTATGGGATGCCGCGTGACTTTAGATGCTGGAGAAGAAACTCCAATGCGAAGCCGTGCCTTCTTTGAAAGCATGTCGCATATCGCAGAGAGACCCCGGCCAACGCCGGCAAAGTCCAAGAAGGCGACTGCACGCACACGCAACTCACGCAGGGAAATGAGCCGAAGTCGAAGCCTTGCTATGGCGGTGCTTGGAATCCGGTGCTCAGCACGGAAGCACTGCGCTCGAATGTCCGAGTGCAAAACACGATCCTTGCACTGCATGCACCGCACCACGAAGTCCATGGACACTTGCACTGCAAGGGGGTGATGCTCAAGTGAGCCCAACCCAAGTCTCGACGCGAGCAAACTCGCAAGGATTTGAAGTCCTGGCCTGTCTCCACTCACCTGGACAGGTTGCTCAAGATACTCGGGACTTGGGCGCTTCTTGCAGACAGTCATTTGCTGATTCCTTGCCTGGGTCGGGAGACCCCTGCCAACCCTCAACTCCAACCGCAACCTACTCGCCAAGTTAAGCTCCACGACACCGAGAACTACAGCTTTGAGCGACAGACCCTCTACGAAAGCCAGAGTGCATGCCGTTTTGATTGCAGCAACCGTTGGGAGAGCCTTGTGTTGGTTCGCTAGTGGGAGACTCCACGTCTAGGGCCTTGGAGTTTCAGGTGTGACTCACCAACAATCGAAGTCTCCTCTCCTATAGGAAGAACAAACAGCAGAGGCAGAAAGGCAACTCCGGCGTCCCTCTCTGCCTGCAGGGACAGAACCATGAGCCAGCCGCCGACGCCGGAGACATGGCTTTAGTCCCGCTTCGCTGCATCCCGGTCTCCTCAAGAGAGCTGCACCGCCATGCTGCAAGGGAGCACAATGATGCGCAGACGTGTCCTGGAATCAGTGCGTGTGCAACATGTTCCAGAAGCTCAGACGTCAATTCAACAACCAGAAAAAAACATTTACGTCAATCGACACGACGTAGAAGGCAGTTCGGAACGCTTGCCCTTTGAAAAACTGGCTTGCTTGAGGCGATGCTTCCATGCTTTCCATTAGCGTGCTTGAGCCGTCGTCTGCTCCGGGACTGTTGCGAACTAGCACAGACACACCAGGCGGACCAAGCTGCACAAAAGTCAACGTCAGTGACCGATGTCCGATACGGTGATTGAGGGATGAGAGAGAGAGAGAGAGAGAGAGAGAGAGAGAGAGAGAGAGAGAGATACAAAAACACACACACACACCCCACCTATACAGACATGCATCCATGCATGCAAACTCAAACACACCTGCACGTATTCTCGCGCTGATCCATGTGCTTATGACGCCCTTTCAGGGTTCGGCAACACTGTTGAACCCACGCCTTCGAATGTTGCATGTCGGCATGAAGCGACGACGACAACTACGCGCCTCTTCAAAGCAATTCCTGAATGTCATAGCTGCTTTCTCAAGGCAAGCCCGTGAGTTCCTGACTGAACAACAAACGGCAACATAAGTTGCCTCAAACACACTGGCTTCTCGGGCTTATGATGACTAGGAAAGTGCGTATTGCTTTGGAAGGTGCCCTGCAGCAGCACAGCTCATCTCAGGCATGCCCATTTACAAAACGGCGGTTCAGACATACACCGCCCATCAGGCGACACCCATGCTCCTAAGCGCGCTGCCATGCTGTCAGCTCAGAGGGCGTCCGTCTGTGCACCCGCGAGGTTCGGCTGAAGCGTCCAGGGAACAGGCTTGCTGTCTATTATTTGCAAGAATGCGGAAGCTTGACGTGCTGTGAGTTGCGCGATGTGGCTTGAAGGCACGCATGCGGCTTGTGCGCAGTGCCTTCCCCACTGGCGGGTTCAGCAACACTAAAGATGCAATAGCGCAGAAATCGAAGATTGACGAAAGCGCAGCATTCTTCAAGGAGGTTAGTGCCGGCTAAGTTTGTGTACAAACGCACCCAGAGTGTGGTTGTGTCAATGCAGATGCTTGGTGAAGCGGGCAACCCGACGTAACTTGGCACATGATGATGTATCGCGACAGAGGCTTGTAGCTGCATCGTAACACTAATACTGTTGCTGGCGTGATCACTGTCCTTCCGCTAGGTCAATCGGTTGACATTATGCCTGGCGCACATGCCTCTTGCCATGTTTACGGCTGAGCTTCCTACGTGTGCATGTGCGCACAGCATCGGCAAATGACGCGGCTTCCAAAGACCGTACCATGCAGACCACAGCCAGGGTGGAGCGCATCGGCCAGAGTTCGGAGTCTTGCAGACTGGATAAGTGCACGCCTTCGTTCTTTCTCACTGGGGAGCAGGGGAGCTCATGGCAATGGTGCGCATACGCCAGATGCCCAAATGGGAAATTGGAAATTGCGGATTTTAGAGTGCGCGGGGCTCGGACACCGCCCACGCGCGCGCCTGCTTTTTGCAAGTGGTGCGTGCCGGGCGTTGCGCGCTTCGCTTCGCGGGACTATCAGCGCAATGCCCCCCGATCATCCCCCATCTCATGTAGCCTCCACTCATCAATCACTTCATCTGACAGCCTTCTACCATCGCTGAGAGTTCTCGATTTGGCGGAGATTCAAGCTTGAAGCCTATGGGGGATGACCCCCACCCCCGCCTCCTTCGTGGTCAAGCCCCACACCCCCCCCCCACCCCCCCCCACCCNNCCCCCCCCCACCCCCCCACACCCCCAAAAAAAAGAACCCCCCCCCACCACCCACCCTTGACCGCCCACCACCTTCCAATCTGCTAGCTTGGAGGGGAGGTGGGGTGCGGAGAGGGGGGTGTGACAAAGCCTTGCAGGACATGTGCCTGCTTGTGAAGGGCATCACAGTGCATTGCTTCATTGTCACTCGAGAAGTGCCTTACTCTCTCAACATCTTGTCCCATGGCGAGGGGGAGCGGTCGGTCAGTCTCGCTCGCTGGGGCCTTTACCTCTGCACTTGAAGGTCGTGCTGTGGATCCAGTTAACGCAACTTGGGCTGGCGCAGAACATCATCAGAACAATTGGGGGTTCACTTTGCCTCATACGAGTAAGACTCATAAGCTCCTGCAAACCCACCCCAAGCTTCGCGAAGGGCACTTACTTTTTTGGTCATTATCAGCACTCACTCGAGCCGTTTTTTGGGACCTGTCCTCCTCTCTTTGCTCGCGGCAGGGTCAGTAGGTGCTGCCATGCACGCAATAATTCTTGGCATGTGAGCCCCCGCATGAAGCTACTTGTTGGCCATTGTCTCCTCAACCAGCGGAAATGTTCGCCGTGATGCTTTGCTGTTCGCGGGTTTGCATGCTGACGGGGCAGAAATCGCCAGACACGCGCATGCCCAGAAATGCAACTTCCATGTATGCCCAACAAACACTGCGTTTCTTCTGAACTTTGGTCGGCCCTCTTCACGCACTGGTACAAGGTGTTGACGAAGTCTCTGTGTCTGTATCTGTCTACGTGTCTGCGCATGCAACGTCTCTGCATCCATTAGAGCCCCACGCAATGCAAAAAATCTCCGGCCTCTTCCACTTCGTTGGACGAAATTCGGAAACCTTGGCCAAGGAATTTGCTTGCAACGACGATGCGTACAAACGTGTCCCGCCCCTCCCATCACGCACATACCCACAATCCGACGGAACAATGCGCCGCCAGAGCCATAAGACAGGGCATGACCTCCATCTCATAGCCGGAGCGGCACAAGCACCCACAATCACAGGGCATGACCTCCATGAAGGAAGTGCCAAAGGTCCCGCACGGCCCCGTCACCTCCACCAGCCCAGCTCGTCGCCCGCTCCCAACCCGACAGGACACTCTGAGGGACAAAACATGTCAGGGTGGATTTCTCAGATCCGCACGAGAATGATGACGAGGTGTTTCTGCCTGCGATTTCTGACATGACATGCTAGAATTCCTGCCTCTTCCCTGCGCAACAAGCAATTACTTTGCGAATTTGGCTGCACTTTCGGACGGCTCACCAAATGAATCGTAGCAAAGCCTGGCCTTGAAACGCTGTTAGCGCAGAGCTGCGGATTGTCCATGGTCTTCACGCATCCTGTTATATCCTGCTGCTGGCACTGAGCCACGAACCTGCTGCATCCTGTCCACGTCCCAACATGGGACTGCTGCCACTCAGAAAGACCCTGGACCTGCCATTCATGTACCTTCCGAGCTTGTGTAGACCACTGAGCAAGGGCAGGCCGGACGAGCTCAAAAGTGCGTTCCTTGCTGCCCTCGGCGTCATGATTCTTACGAGTGTTCCGAGAGTAGCACCACGAGTCCCAAGCTGCCCAAGTCTGAGCGGATCTAGCTCATGCGCTTCCTGGCGTCTGGTTCCCTCCTTGACCTGCACAGGCTTTCAACCTGGCTGGGGGCATCTCCTTCGTTCCGACCTTCAAAGGCACCGTCGGACTCCACGTGGACCCACGACGATATTGGACAGCTACGGCCTCAGACCCTGGACCTGCCGTTCAGTTCCTGCCGAGCTGTTGGATGGCGACTGCGAAAATGGCAAGCCTGGTATTTGCGTCCAAGCATCTGAATATTGCCACTCAGGGAAGTCCCCATCACCGAAATCGGCACAGGGTGGCCTCTCAGTGCAGAAGTCGAGTGCCAGGAAGCTTCGCAACTGCATCACAGGCTACAGTCGGCAACAGGATTCTTCTTCTGCGCTCCAAGTCATGCTCTCTGCACTCTGTGTGGCGTGCACACGCGCGTTTTGTGCACCCCCAACACGCTTGAGATTTCAGATTTCAATGGCATGTCTGATGCAGGGACGCGGTTTAACTGCACCACACACTTGCCACAAATTGTAAACGACAAGCCCGGGGCCACGTTGCTGCAGTGCGGTTGGCTGGCTCCGGTTCGAAGACAATTTTTGAAATGACAACACACCGACACGAACGGACGACCGTCAGAAAAGGCAGTCGATGAAGTGGCGAGAGGTGGATCATCTGCGTATCCAGGGGCTCCTTGACCTGCAGAAGTCCACATGTACTCGTGGCGAAGCCACAAGCTGAAACGCACAAGCTGAGATGGCCGCCGTTGATTGCAAACTGCAGGAAACATGGCATGATCATGGTCTGTTGCGGCCAGACGTCAGGCAAGCGCAGGCTTTGAAGGACATTGAGGTGTGATAACTGTGCCCACACGGTTTAGAATTCGTTCCAAGTTCCTGATAACAAGACAAATCTGGTGGCACACTAACTGGCTAAACAGAATGGCCGCCGGTTGCGCAGCTGAAGTCTCATGCTTTGATGCTTACTTTGGCCAACAAGCAGTCCACTTCATTGTCCATGAAAGGGCACAGACTGCACAGACCGCCAAATGACAATTCCGCTGATTTTGCTGCACGCTGTATCCACCTGCACCAATAGCTGTGAGAGCTGTCGACCGAGACTCAGGAAAATTGAATCAATGGCAAGTTCGGCGGCAGCACGCCAGGATGAAGCCCGTTTCGCCTCAAGTTAAATGCGTCCTGACGGTGAAAGCCACGGTCGGAGTGACGTGAGACGGCATACTTCGGCGCTGGTGTACCTCTGCGCCTACCCATATCCACTGTCGGGGTATGAGTATATGCATAAAAGCGATATACGTAAACATACATGATTATAAACTCATGCATACGCACGGACAGATACATACATACATACATACATACATACATACATACATACATACATACACACATACATACATATATACATACATGCATACATGCGTACATGCAAACATGATACGTACCTACCTGCGTACGTACATACATACGTACATAAATACATACTCACACATTGGCATACACACATACACGCAAATATTTATATATATATATGTATGTATATCGAAATATGTACATTCTTAGAAACATGTACATAAACAGATTGTACCCATGTGCACTTATGTATGTCTATATATCAGATAAACGCTCAAATACATAACCAATGCATACATGTACACACATATGTACGGATATAGATACGTACATATACAGACATACATGTACTATTACACATATAAACATTTATACACACATACGCACATACCTATACACATATTATACACATACGTGGTTCAAATATATCTGTATACACATCTACATATATACCTGGATACATATGTATAGACATACAGACACACATACATATATGCTAATAATATGATGTGTGCATGTATGCCCCTGTGTACATACGTGTATCCTATGTATCTATGTACCCGTATACATATCCTGTCACATACATATACATGTCACATGCACACATATGCACTTCAAACCTTCTGAACATGCCAGATACATATCCGGATACAGATACAGGGGTGTGTGTGTGTGTGTGCCCGTGTTTGTTGCTTGTGCATCTATCTAGTGATTTACTTATTAGGTTTTGCCGTTTGGTTGTTCATGCATTTTTAAATGACTGATTCGCTTATCTATTCGTCTGCTGACTGCGATTCCTCGTAGGTATACAATCTTCTCAGCTTTGTTTGCGCTGTGCGTTCTATATGTCATGCTTCGACATGAGCACTCAGAATTAATTATTTGTGTATATATATATATATACACACATGTTTTATTTACTTGTTTATAGACATGTGCAAACATGGACCAAATACAGACGTTCATACAAAGTTGAACATACAGGCACGCACAGTTCCGACTGTGGCTTCTTTATATCGAAACATCAGGAGGAAATGTTGGCCTTTGGCATGCGATTGAGCTCTGCCCTTACAAATGCCGACTGGCCAAGGAATCCGGAGTCGTGACGCACTGTGTCGCTGCGAGCTTGAATAAGCCATCTGACAGCAACAGTGCGATGAAGCGGCTCCAAACCTTTCCTCACTCCGCATGCCTGACTCTTTGTCACGGCATACGACCTATCTAGTGCCACCGAGTGCCCTGCACCACCGACACTTAGCACACTGCATTTTTGCCGGTAGCAGAAATGAAGCTCATCAATGTTTGAGAGCTTCGGGTGGGGAACCCTGATAAGGCAATGACGAGTGGTGGAGACAAATGCGCACCTGGCCATCCTGACAGGGATGAGCGACAGAATCGGCGACAAGAACCTCTGCAGAAACCCCACACGACTGTGCTTTTTCAGGGACCCCGATGTCCTGGCACTTCTTGTAACCGAAAGTATATTCCACCTTGCTGATGCTTCCATCCTCGGCAGAGGCAAAGAAGTAGTTCCCCATGGCAATCGCAACATTCCCATTCAAGTCGATCTGGTGGTTGTCAAACAGCACATCTGACCAACCTTTGCCGCCGTTGATTGCAAAGCCGTGGTCCTCGGAAACGCCACCCGTCACAGCGTCAGCCCCTACAAAGTAGGACAACGCCTGGCTTGCTTCCGGGCGGAACTGCATGTCCTTTGCTTTGGTCGGCTTGAACAGCACATTTCCGTGGCCATAACCATAGAGTTCACCGGCTGCACGAGTGGCCACTGCCACATAATCGTCCCCATCCAAATATGCCTTCGAAATGTTTTTGATCGCATCTGCCCACGCTCTCTGGGCAGCTTTCACCTCCTCCATTGAGACTGACATGCCGGCTCCCTGGTATGGAACTGATGAATGGTGAAGGCAAATGCGAACTTTGCCATCCTGGCATCAGAGTCCATTTAGGGGGCCGGGTCAGGAAGTCTTTTAGATGACCAACGCCAAGCTACGCAGCCACCACTCTCCCCCGTTCCTTGTCTACCGGTTTACAGTGCACAGACTCAGCAACTAGAACACCTGTGGTTTCAGAAACGCGCCTTGGTGCTTCAGTGATTCCTGCTTCATGGGAGCAACCTGGCAGCTCCTACTGTGTCCTCAGTGTTAAATGCTGTGTTGTTGTCAGCTCTTTCCCGCTGCTCTGGCGTTGATTTGGAACGCTCCTCTATCTATGTCCTGCTGTTTCTTGGCAGTTGCTGCTGTCTCCGGTTCTCTCCTGAGTAATTTACCTCACGATCATGCTCGACATTTGCCCAACATTTACCTTCATAACCTGGTGCCGGATTTCTCAAGTGGCTCCACTATCTTGATACGATTTTGCTACTGATGTCGAACATCAGCGCAGCTCGTAGCTGAAGCAACTTGAAAACCACGTTGTGTTTTCAGGGACTCCCGATATCCTGGCACTTCTTGTAACCGAAAGTGTATTCCACCTTGCTGATGCTGCCATCTGAAGCGGATGTAAAGCAATAGTTGCCCATCGCAATGGCAACATTCCCGTTCAAGTCTATCTGGTGGTTGTTGAAGATCACATCCGACCAACCCTTGCCGCCATTGATTGCGAAGCCGTGGTCTTCGGAAATTCCACCTTCTATCGCGTCGGCACCTACGAAGTAGGACATAGCCTGTTCCGCCTCAGGCCGGAATTGAACATCCGAAGCTTTCGTTGGCTTGAAAAGCACATTGCCGTGGCCGTATCCATAGAGCTCGCCGGCTGCATTTGCGGCCACCCCCACATAATCTCCGCCGTCCAAGTAGGTCCTGGAGATTTGAACTCTGAGAGGCATCCAGTGTGTGTGTGTGTGTGTTGTGTACTTTCGATCGTGTGTTACACTGCGGAATGTCGGAATGGGCTCAGAGCTTACAGTTCGGATTCCGGTCCTTGAAATGTTTTTGATCGCATCTCCCCATGCCTTCTGGGCACTTTCCACCTCCTGCATTGAGACCGTCATGCCAGGCATGGCGGCAGGAGCGGCTGCGCCCGGTGCAGGCGCAGCTGCTGGTGCAGCCGCAGGTGGGGGGCCTTGAACAGACCGGTTGCCTGCCACGGACATGTCCGTGCCATCCACCAAGTAGCCCGTGTCGGCAGCGTAGAAGGACGGCGGCAACGGCGAACCGGGAATGTGTGTATCCGGCTGCATGGTCTCAGGATGGTTCACAGCGTTGCCTGCTGCATTCAGAGGTGTTCCATCAGGGAGGTAGCCAACGGAGTTGGTGAAGATGGCCCGGGGCAGTGGCGATCCCGGCGTGTGTGTATCCGGTCCGATAGTCTCCGGATGGTTGATGGCGTTGCCGGCCTTGTTCAACGGCGTGCCATCGGGCAAGTAGCCTAGGCTTCACTGGAATCTACCAAACATCAAAGAAGGTCAACAAGCCTGACATTGTCTGCGGGTCTCGTCAGTTTTGAACAGGATGCACCCAAGACTCAACCCAAGGAGCTCATCATCGTTTGCTAAATCAATGTTCGAGAAGACGACATGCTCCGAAGCTGTTCATCAATCCCAAGACAGTCCAAGCAACCGACGTCATTGATGAACTCGTAATCGGCATG